TATATACTTAAACATACATGCGGTTATCCATATCTTCATTTATATTTAAACAAACTAAAGCAGCTTAAAATCATTCTGAACAAAGAATAATAGTATTGCTGGATTTCACATCATGACACTCCATGATCAGCACTGGGTACTGCAGTGTCTTTTTAAAAAAAAAATAATTTAAAGGAAAGCTAAACGAAACAGAAAACGGGTAGAAATAATACATAATTTCAAAGAAAAAAAAAGTAATAAATCACTAGTTGATGATTACAGATTGTCTTCTTACAAATAGTTATTCAAGATAGTAAAGTGGAACATATAAAGTGGGGATTCAAACAGTGATATTGCAACCAGTTCTGTTCAACTATCCAACAAAAACTCAGAAATACGATTATCAATCCTATACACTTAAACATACATGCAGTTATCCATATCTTCAATTATGTTGAGATTGAATAAACACAAGCAAGCTAATATCACTCTGAACAAAGAATAATACTATTGCTGGGTTTCACATTATGACACTCCAGGATCAGCGCTGGGTATTTTAGTGTCTCTTTTTCTTCAAAGTATCTGTTCATTTCATCATGTGTCATAAGATCAGTTCTCATAAACTGTTTATGGATTCTACATATGCATGAGTCTTAACTTGTATTTCTATCCTTTCTGTGTTAGACGGAGAAACAAAACAAAGCAAAGGCAAAACAAAGTATATTCTTATAAACACATGAAATGAAATAAACATATAAGACTGTTGTACAAAGAGTTCTACTATGGTTCCTGTGTTGGCTCTTATTATCTTCAATAGAATTGGCTATATCATCAGACATAGTATAATTGAATATATCAGTACATAACAGTATTAATAAAAACACAACTTTGTATATAGTATAGAACTTCAAAAACCGGCAGTTATCAAACCAGAATGTGTATTGTAGAGTCTTGTCATCTTCAGTGTAGTTGCCTATACTCTCAGACTTGATACTATCAATCATATCAGTTTTGAATAAAATCTTCTCTGCCTCATTTATGTTATGCTCTTTTTTTGCGATCAGTTGTCTGCTTATCTTCTTAATTTTGTTTTCTGCTCCATTCATTGAGGGCTCTCTGCCACTGTTCCTGGAATCCTAGTACTTTTATCTCTCTCTAGAATGTCCTGAAGTATTCTCTGTGGACTTGGATTGGTGGCTGGGAATTTCCCAAGGTCCTCTTTGTTTTTGAAGCATCTTGTTTCTCTATTAATTTCTAGAGACAGGTATATCAATCTGAGCTGGAGGTTATTTTCTTTCAGGGCTTGGAATATTTCGCTCCAGGCTCTTCTTGACTTGATGGTTTGTGTAGAAAAGTCTGCTGTTATTGTGATAGGCCTTCCTTTATAGGTTATCTGTTTCTTGTCTCTAACAGCTTTTAATATTCTATTCTTATATTGAATTTCTGGGATCTTGATTATTATATGCCTGGGTGTAGCTCTGTTTTGGTTGTAGGTGGCTGGAGTTCTGTATGCCTCATACATCAGAATATCATTTCCTTTTCCTATGCTTGGGAAGTTTTCCTTATTTCTGTGAATAACTTTTGTAATTCCTTTTTTTTGTATTCCAGCTTCTTCATTTACATTCTTTATTCTCAAGTTATAGATCCTTTTGTTGTCTTCTAGCCTTTGTATTGTTACTACTTGTTCCTTGTTATTTTTAAAAAGTTTTCCCTTTCATAATCCCACATTGCAAAATTGTCCTCCAGTTTGGGTAATTGATCCTTAGTTTCTCTCAAGCAGATTTGCCTTCTTTCCATAGAGTTTTTACTTTCCTGGTAATCTCTTTGAATCTGCTTCATGTATTTTATATTATTTTATATTCTTCATCAAATGGTTCTCTCCTTTGTTTGAGTTCCTCCCTTCTTCTGTCTCTGTGTGCTTGAGGGGTGCTTAGTATCTCTTTTATTAATCTTCTTATATCTTGCTTTACTTGGCTAAATATTTCCCTTTTGAACTCGTCTATGTGGTCCCGAATATATCTCTTTATGTCCATTGGTGCCATGTCTGATATTGCATGTTTGTTGTTCTCATTCTCCTTTGTATTTACTTGTCCTGGGTCAATTTTCTCGGGTTGGGACCTGGGGACTTTTTGTTGTTGCTTCCTCTTCCCTTTGTTTTTTGCTTCTTTCAGGAGGCCGCAGTTTCTTTCTTTGTTGGTTACAATTCTTCTGAAGTGCACTGGGTAGATGAACCTTCCCTCTGCCATGTGCTAGTGAGTTGTAGACAGGGACAGCCTATACTTGCCCCTCCCCTCCAGATCAGTCAAGCTGCTGTGGCCTGCACTGTATTACTTTGTACTGCCTCCTCTCTGAGACAGTCAAGCTGCTGTGGCCTGCACTGTATTACTTTGCACTGACTCCCCTCTGGGTCAGTCAAACTTTGGAGGCTTCACTGGGTTAGTGTGGTTAGTGTGCACCACCACTGTAGGGACTTGATTTTGGATAACCTATTGGGTCTCAGCCAGGTCACGTGACCCAGGCCTGGCTCATTCCACAAATCCCATTCAGGAAGGGAACAACTGACTGAAGTCACTGCTGCCCCTTGTACTTGCCAGTCCTGCCAGGTCCCAGGATGTTTCTGCCGGACCCCCCCTTTCTATGGAATGCCTCTACTCCTGTCACTCACCAGAGGTCAATGTAGGCACCCTGGCAACTCGCTGTCTTCTGAACTGAATGTAACTGCACCTCCAGTGAGTTGGAGTGGCAGGACCTCAGATCCCTCGGCAATTCACAGCAGGACCTCAGATGGTCGGCAAATCGCTTGCTGTGGCAGGAACACTGAATCTTTAGCTGTTCCAATAATAGGACCAGGACAATATGTTTGGTTGGTTCTTCTCACCTTAATTTCTTCTTGAGAGGAGAGAATTCATCTCCCTCTGTTTGGGGCTCCCTACTCTGTATTATGTTGAATTCTAAGTTGACTATCTCAGAGAGCCTTTGTAGCCAGTTGTTATCTATCTGCCATCTTTGCTCCTCCCCCTGATTTTTTTATTTTAAAGAGAAAAAAATAGAAGTTGATGTTTAAATCTTGGTTTTGTATCCTTGTATGCTACTGAATTTCATTGCTAATTCTAGGAGTCTTTTGGCAAATTTTTTTCTGAACTTGTATCCAAAGGATCATGTCATCTATAATAATGATAATTTAATTTCTTAGCCATATTCCTTTGATTTGTCTCTGTCCTCTGATTGCTGTGGATAATGTTTTAAGAAGTACATTGAATGGATGATAGCAAATGTCCTTGTATGTTCCTGATTTTAGAGCAAAAGCTTTCAGCTTCTCTCCATTTAGTGTTATGTTCATCATTGGTTTGTCATACATGGCTTTTATCAGATTGAGACAAAGACTATATACCTATTTTCACTGCAGTTTTTATCGTGAGCGAATGTTGGACTTTATCAAATGCTTTTGTTCATCTACTGAGATGATCATGTGACTTTTATCCTTATTTTTTGTTTATGTGGTATACTGTATTTACTGATTTTCTTACGTTGGACAATCCCTGCATCCCTGGGATGAATCCAGCATGGCCATGTTATATCCTGTCTTTTTGATGATTTACTGTATGCTGTGTACCAGTTCCATATTGAGGATTTTTCCATCTATGTTTATTAAATGATTGGACTGTAGTTCTGTTTGCTTGTGTATTTTTTGCTTGTGTTTGTTTTTGGTTTGGGGATCAGGTCTTATTTTTTGAGTACTTGCAGGTGTATCTTAGGGTTATTTGAACTCTCTCCATTTTTCTGATTTGGAACTCACTGCTATACACTTCCCTCTTGGGACAGCTTTCATTTTGTCTCACAGGTTCTCATATGTTATACTGGCATTTTCATTTGACTGTAGGAAATGTCTAATTACTGCTTTAATTTCATATTCAAAGGGTATTATTTAATTTCCAGGATTTCTTATTTTCTTTGTTTATATTGCCTTTGATTTCCTTTTTTTTTTGTCTTTTTCATTTTTATCGGTACTGGGGATCGAACTCACAACCGCCTGCTTACAAGGCAGGTACTTATGCCGCTGAGCTAAATCCCCAGCCCTTGCCTTTGATTTCCTTGTAATATGATCTAATAATGTGCATGGGATAATTCAAATCCTTTTTTAATTTTTGGTACCGGGGATTGAATTTATGACCTCAGACTTGCCAGGCAGGCACTTATGCCACTGAGCTAAATCCCCAGTCCGATAATTCAATTCCTTTGCATTTATTTAAGCATGCTTAATGGACTAGTTATGTTGTCTATTTTGGATAAAGTCCCACATGCTGTTAAGAAGAATGTGTAATCTCTTGGTGTTAGATGGAACACTGCATTGATGTCTGTTAAGTATATTAGTTCAAGGTTTTGGATCAACTATTATATTTCTTTGTTGAATTTATATCTAGTTGTTCTGTCTATTCGTCACAGTGTGGTACTGAATTCACTCATTTCAACTGTAGTGGTGCTTACTGATTTTTCATGTCCACTAGTGTTTGTTGTATGAAGTTGGCTATGCTAGTATTTGGTGCATATTTGTTTATCATAGTTATTTCTTCCTGTTGTGCTGTTCCCTTAACCAACAAGTAGTGACTTTCTTTGCCTCTTCTCATCAGCTTTGGTTTGAAATCCAGTTGGTCTCAAATTAGCACAGTTATTCCTACTTTTTTTCTGGATTCCTGTTGCATGGAATATTGTTTTCCATTTTTAACCTGTTGTTTTCTTTTTTAGTTAGATATGTTTCTTTTAAACTGCAGTGTTCAGTTTTGTTTCTTGATCTGTTTGGCCAATCTGCATTTTTTGACTAGGGAATTGAGCTCATCATAAGAAATTTCTAAGAAGACAGCATTTCCTGGAAATTATAGAAAAATATCATTGCATTTCTTTGCTGGGTGATTGAAAATGTAAAAACTGACAAGGAATATACATATGCTATTCCATTCATCCAGAACACTGGATTGCTCACCCAGAAAACTGAATAAGGAACATTTGCCGTTTTCTCTCCACAGGCTGGAGCTTGCAAGAGACATGGATGTGCCTGAATTCAGAGTGCAGGTCAGTAAATGCAAGAAAAGCCAACTGGCAGGGAAGTCAATCTACATCCTGCCTCAGGACACTGCCATGCCCTGGACATTGTAAAAGTGGTATTTTGTTTGTTTTGCTTTTTGTTTTTTGAACTTGCTGGCATTCATAGGTAGAAAATGAGAGACAGAAACATGATCTGTGGTCTCTTCCCCTTATCTACCGGAGTGTCGTTTACTAAGGGAAAAAACAAAAAACTTCAAACTAAGTAATGTTCACCTCATTCTAGGACCTGTGTGCTTTAGAGTGCACTTCTGTGTGCACTCATGTTGGGGTTCAGTGGTGCAGGGGAGAAAGCAAGGTTAAAAGAGCATGCAGTTGTAGGTAAGTGTTTGAAACCAAGCCCAAGAACTTAGCGTGTGAGTTTTTAAACATTTATTTCCTTGGTTAGTTTCATCTTTATCTCTGTCATTTCTTTGTTTTTTTTTTTTTTTTTTTGGTGTTGAGAATAGAACCACGTTACATCCAAGGATTGTACCACTGAGTACCTCAATTTCATAAATATTAGGAAAGGGAATAAACTCTCAATGAAAATACTCTGTGAACAAGTGATGAATGTCTAATTAAATTGAGAGTGATGAAGGAAGGTAGTTAAAGTGGTTAGTTGCCTGATTTTCTTTAATTGTCTGTACATGTTGGGATGGTGATAGAGACAGTGGCAGCCCACAGTTTAAAATTTTCTGCATGGAGTACAATGTCGATGTGAACACATTCTCCACATGCAATCTGGTTGCAATAAGGCATAGGACTGCATGCTTTGGAAATTGGTTTAAAGACTGAAAAAAGCAAAATAATTGGCGTGGTATGAATTTCAGGCAACCTAAAAAATAAGAGAATGATATAGAAAAATTGTAGTCGAGAGTGGCCTTAAAAATCATTTATGTATTCCTAAATGAATCTTTTTTTTGCTTGCTTCCATGAGACCCTGCCCTAGGGGTGGGGAGTGTTTGGCCCAGAACCCCACCTGTTCCTGGTTCCACAGGCCTGGGTCCAGGTTGCCAGGCAGGCTCATTGTGGACACCCTGCAGGCCTAGCTGCCACCCCTTTGTCCTGGCAAAGCCCGGCTGGCCCTACTCACCTAGACACCCAACAGTGCCTCCTGATCTTATCCAGCATGGTGCTGGCCTGGGACATTGTGCAGTCCCTCAACCTGGCCAGCCCCCATAGCCCAGGTGCTCAGCAGCAGCAACAGCAGCTACCAAAGGCCCTGGGACCAGTCACCTTGCACCACTGCCCAGGGCCAGGACATAGTGAGTGAGGCAGGGACACTCCAGGGACTCTACAGGGGCTGGGATCCAAGAAACACAGGAAAGGGTGCGAGGCCACAAGTTCCACACTGAGAGAAAATGCAGTGTAGCTCCCAGTGTGAACCCTACCAGGTTCGGACAGAATTGCCTTCTTAGAGTATTTGTTAAATAAATGCATTGTGTGTGTTTCCTTTTGTGGGATACTATTTCCATAGATAGGCTTTGTGGATTAATGTGATGTCATAGCCCTCATTTCAGAGCAGATTTGTGCCTGCTTTAGTTTCAAGTACAGTGAAACCTTCTTTTGTGAGCATTATGTATTCCAGAAGCATGACTGTAATACAAAAAGCACTTACCTATTGAAAGAAATTTCCTCTCAGGAAATAGTGGAAACTTGGTCATGGAAAAATGAATCTAATATTGTTATATAAAAGAAAATGATAAAATAAAAACTAAAAATACATTAACCTGAGCTAACCTTTGAAAACCTTCCTGACTGGTGTAAAAGAGACAGGAAAGAGCAAGGTTACAGTCTAGGACGAATTTCACTGTCATTAAGGAATCTCTGCTATCCTTGGCTCCAAGAAATCTGTTTTTGAGGAACTTTAACAAGGATCCTATGCAGTGAGACTTACTTTTGGGTTCTCTGGAGGATTCTGTGGGTATATGACATCACATTGTCATTAAAGCAATACACTGCTCATACTGCAACAGCCTTGAGTGGTGATTTTACACAAAAGTTTGCACTGCTTCACACATTTTATCCATGCCCATCATCTCACGTGAAGTGAGGTATTCCTCTGAATTTTTCTGCTCCTCCTCTGCCGAGATCTTTTTCATAACCTTTTGTTATTTGGAGACTGTCAAACACAGTTGTATACACACAAACACAGGATGGGGGTAGGGGAGAGAGAGAAGGATAGACAGGTAGAGATCTTACAAAGGGACAAAAGAGAAGAAGCAGTGGCTCATTGAGATCATGTGATGCTCAGCATCCAACTATGAAGAAAATTGCAACATACTGCTCATCATTCAAGCGAAAATTTAGTAGAAATCTGTGCTCATCTTGTGGAACACTCACAAAACAAGCTACTTGCAATCCAAGCTTTTATTGTAATTTCTGTTTCTTCAGGCAGTGCTGAGAAGAATGAGGGGAGGTCATGGGTCAGAGGAAACCTATGTGAGACAGAAGAGCCCAGGAGATATAGCAAAAACAGCAGGGCATGGGTGAGAAAATCAGGATGAGCTCATGAGCAGCGCTGTTGCAGAGTTCAGGACAGGGAGCAGTGGGGAAATGGGCGGAGGATGGGGGAGAGGCTCCAGGAAAGCAGCCCAGCACTGCAGGCCACTGAGCTCTGGCATCCTAATGCACAAACCAGGTGTACAAAGGCTGTCTTAGCTTGGAGATGTGGGGAGGGGTTGGGGAGCATTTTCTCAGGGTGCCTGACAAATCCCAAGCACAGAGGATCCCAGATGTGGAGGGGCTTTCTCCCCACCCTGGCTGTGGGCTTCTCTGACTGGAGTCCTGAGGGAACAGGAGCCACAGCAAACAAATGAAGGAGAGGAATGGTCTCAGTATATCCAATCTCTGCAGCCTGAAGTTCTCAAGAACCTCGTGCATGTTCCCCCCTCTCCTGTGCAGGGTGATAGGACTGGTAGGAAAACAGGCTACAAAAACAGACCTGATGTCAGCTCACCTGGGACAGTGCATTGTGCATGCTTTGTGTAGATGCAGCTGTCACCAGTGGACACTTTTCATCCTCTCTACATTAGCTCTGCTGCTCTGGGCTTCTTGATGAAGTGTATTCATGTGGGGAAGCAGGTGTGAGGCAGGGAGAGCAGGCTGTTTGTGTCATTATAGCTTGCAGTGTGGGAACTTCACAAATGTATAAGTCCTAGTGAATCGTCCAGAACTGGGCATCTGTGACAGAGTCCAGAGCCCAGAGATATGTGGCACAGATCTTGGTCTCTCTGCAGAGGAATGGGTAGCAGAGGTTTAGAGGGGAGCAGTTGTGTGAGCCCTTCCACTGGTCACTGCATGGTGGGGGCCCTCTTCCTGGAGAGCACTTCCCCTTTTGTGTCTTGGGAAGGAGGCCGGGCTGTGGGTGCCCGGGTGGAGCAAGAGCAGAGCTGCTGCTGTGCAAATAAAATGGCAGAGGCGTGTGAGGTTCCATGAGGAGCCTTCATTGTGACAGCGACTCTTCTGTGCACTAACCCAGTGCCTATTTTCCCTTGAGTGCAGGCTTGGTTCAAGAATCGGAGGGCCAAAGATAGGAAACTTCAGCGGGAAGCAGTGCTCAGCGATGCCCCACCTGCTGTCCAGCACCAGGGGGCCGTCCAGGACCAGCAGCAGCGCTCGCCTGTTCCCCTTCTCTGAGGCCACAGTGCACGTGGTTTTGCTCTTGGCACTAAGTCTGGGCCGTGTGTTGGTGCCCGTGCCAATTTGAGGTTTTGTTCTCAGCACTTATGTTGTCAATAAAGCAATGAATTTTCAGCAGGTTTATTTTTCTGGCATCAGGGGTTACTTGAATATAAATATCAGATGACCTGGGAATGTTATTTCAACAAGTGATGATGAGGTCTCTAGTCATGGAAACACTCCCTTGAGTCACCATCAAGAGTCAGCATTCTTAGTGCCATGATGAGATTTTTATATTTTAAAAATGGTAAAGCCAAGGAAAATAAAACAGAATAAACCAATCAACATAAACTACAGTAATACAGGACATCAGAACCTTATGAAAACAGCAATAGTTTGTTTTCTTCAAAACAGATGCAGATATCTTGGCACATAGTAAAAACTGGACAGAACAGAATAGAGTAGAAACAACAAAAACAAGACAATGAATGCAGTAAAGGACTTCCAAATAAGCTAATAATAAATCCAAATTGACTAGCATAGTATGTCTTGCTATCTTTTAAATAGCTCATCATGCTATCAGATTTAATATAAGCAAAAAAGCATAAAACCAAGCCCAAGAAAGCAATGAAAATGATATTGTTTCATTTTGTGAGGCCTGGTTCTCTCTCCCACCCTAGTACACGAAAGGTGCTGGTTTATGGTAAGTTTTTAATGACCCAGATTTTATACTTAACTCTCTCCTCAGAAGCCTGACCACAGCTTCGTCACTTAGCTTCGTCACTATAGCACTCTACGGTCATTTGGGGGACTCCCCTGTGTGCAAGAGAGGCCAGGGCAGGTCCCTGCTGAGAGGACACCATGTGCGCACAGGGCTGGGTCTCATCCAGGCTGAGGAGTTCAGTGGCAACCCTGGACTCTGACAGTAGCACCCTATGGCATCTCCAGGCTCCGTGAGAAGTAGGCAGAGGCATTGCCATGTCCTGTGCTCCCAGTCCTGCTTGGTGTCCTCCTTGTTGGGAGAACATAGGGTGCCGGGGCACCTGTGGAGCAGAGGTCCTGCTGCTTCTAGAGAACCACAGGAGTCAATCCCACTGAAGCCAGAGAGGCCACTGCACCTTTCTGTCCCATCCCCAGGCCAGAGGCTCAATCCTCACAGTTTACTCAGCTGAGAAGCTGAGTCTCTGACCTTCTTCAGCCCTGGCTCAGTTGCAATATTCCTGTGAGGTCAGCAGGGGGCGCTAAACAATACCTGAACAGAGAGGGACTTAGCCCTCATCTCTGTGTTCACTCTCCTTTCCATTCTTCTTTCACTCAGAGCTCAGGAGTGGCAGCTGTTCGAGTCCCATGACCTTGGAAGGCATTTAGATGTTTCTCTGCTGTCCTTGACGTTTTGGGGTGATTCGGTTTGCAAAACTAATAATTTATTTCTAAACTAGGGCGAAGAGAATTTCCTTCACAGACTTCATATATTCCTTAGTTCATACTATCCACAGGAATGATACAGCTATATTTATGTATTTATTTTGTGTGAGGCTTGATTTCCCTATACAGTTCAAACTGGCCTTGAACTTTCTTTATAGCCCAAATGGCCCCAATATCTCAGTAACCTTCTTGCCTCAGTCTCCCCTATACTGGATATACAGACATGCTCCATGTTATATCTATTTGTACCTATAAATGGAGAAACACACTGTTGCATTTTAAAATTTTAATCATGAGCCAATAATAGAAACGTCCATGTGTGATGTCCATATCTGGGTGTTTAGTATGCATGTATATCTGAGAATCTATTGCCACAAAAGTCATCTTACCATTAATCCCGCTCAGTACACCCCTCCTTGCATTGTACGCAGTGATATCATCATTCTTGCTGCTTTCTGAAGCATTTCTGAAAGTCATATTTGGGGTCTGTAGTTGTGCATTTGTGGCAGCCTGGGGAAACTGAATGCATTCAAACAACATGTTGACTTTGAGGACAGGACCAGAGCCACGTGGTGATAGATGCGGTGACTGATGTGGAAGAGGACACACTATAGGTTCTTACTTGAAGGGAATTGCTGCATATATTGGATCAATAGGAGATAAACCAAGGATCTGATAATGTCTACAACATGAGACAGAAAGACACATTTTCAAAATGCTGAAAGACATCCCATCTCTTCAAGCATGCTTAGCCTTTTCTTGTTGGCAGTGTGTGTCTTAAAGAAATAACTTTATTTAAAAAGGCAAACATTGACCATACCTGGGGGCCATTCTTTCTATCATGTATCTGTCTGTCTGTCTATCTATCGATATTTTACTCTTAGCATGTTGGAGAGGACTTTTAAGCTTTTCTTTCTCCCTCCTGTGGCATCTTACAGAGGAGGCTGCCTGCACTGTAGGGTTAGACTGAGGCGCCATGGTGTGGCTAGTGCAATGTCTCCAGAGCCCATCTCAGTGGCAGAATTGTCCAGCTGTTTCCAATCACCCTGCTCCCATTTGTGTGTCAGGGTTTTGCTTTCACTCTAGAACATATTTCATGAGTCAGTAATCCAAACCCATATATCTCTGCAGGGACCCTCAGTTCCCCCAGAGCCCCAGTGGGCCAGAGAGCCTAAAGGGAAAGCGAGTGTAGACAGCAGAGGGCTGAAGTGGGAGGGAAAATCTGGCAGGCAGAGAGGAAGGGGTGGAGGAGGGAGGCCGTGCATGGCCCACATTAAAGGAGACAAAGCAAGTGAAGACGGGGTTGAGGATAGTCAGAGGAGGAAGGAGAGGCACAGCTAGTGAGAAGGGAGACATCCTGGAGTGGCCAGTTCAGTGGGTCTTTGTGATGGCCAGAGAGGCCAATGATGAATATCCAAGTTATCATTGGGAAAATCCTGCTCCAAAGAAGGAGACAGACAGAGATGGCACAGCATAGTCAGGAGCGGGCCAAGAAGGCCGTACAGTCAGCTGAGAAGTTTCTTTGGGGGAGATAGGATCGATCACATAGAACAGAACTGGCTCACAATACCAAGGGAAACCATTTTATGGTGCAGAAATTTCCAGACACAGGGCTAGGAAGAGGCCCATGTGCCTACGATACACCTTTTAAATGAGGCCTGGGACTCCAGCCTAGCTTCATAGGCTGTGCTGGAAATCATAGTGGTGAGGTCCAGTCTTCTGCTCAAGTCTGTCTGGAGCAATGCTTCTGGCCTCTGGTGCATCAGTGGATCCCAAATCCCTGGGTAAGAAGGGAGGAGAAGGATTCACATGTGTGTGCTGGGGATCCTTGGTGAGAGATCCTGCAGTCTCCTGATGAATCTGATATTGTTCAAGTGACAGCACCAAAAACTGGTAAAGACTAAAGACTTTCACTGACTTGGTGGCACACACATTGGGAGGCTAAGGCAGGACTGCAATTTGAGGCCACCCTGGACAGTTTAGTGATTTAGCCACATGCTGTCTCAAAATTAAAACTTAAATTGGGCTGGGGACTTGACTGACTGTGAAGGTGCATGATGAATCACCTGTATTCTATATACACATATATATTTATCTATCAATATATATGTCTCTCTCTCTGTCTGTCTCTCCATATATATATATATATAAATATTGTGTATATATATATATGTATATATATATATATATATATTTGTCACTGGTTAGAGATGGCAGGGAATACTTTCTTCAAGGGGAGCTCACCAAGTTAGACACAGAGGAGAGGAGAACAGAGTGAAGAGTGCACTGAGGTCAAAACAGACCCACAATCCAGCCTCTCTTGAGCCCAGCCACCCTGGTCTTTCACAGTCTGTGCCGCTGCAGGGAAGCGGGTACTATGGTTTCTGGGAGCAGTGCAATGGGATCGTGCAGTGAGGCAGAGCCTGAGCTCCCTGGAATACAGTCTGCACGAGTGGGCACTGACATCTCAGGACCGAGGTGGAGCTCAGGGCATGGAAATCTATTTAGACAAATAACTGGGGTAAAGGAGGACTCTGCATAACCCAAGCCAATATCATCCTTGCCCAAGCTGGAGCAGCATGATGAGACATGCCCTGGGGATGGGAAAGGACCAGCAACTTTGTCAGATTCTCAGAGGGATCAGGGATGTGAGTGGCTAAATGGACTGAGCTGCAGTTTTGCTAAAATGGTGCCATGCACAAGCACAGTGAGGAAGCCACACACCCAGGCCCAGCTGCAAAAGAGCTCAGAGGCCTTTTAGTGTTTGGTCAAGGACAGAATCTGTATCACCACTAGGAGTCTGAGTTGTAGAAAGTGGAGCTTCTCCCCTCTTTGAGCTCTGCCTAGGAAGACATGGACCCATTTTAACTAAAGATTTCAATTTTTAAAACTTTGCATGATGTTCATATATGGCAGGTAGAAAAAATAACAGAGCAAGAATGTGAAGAGAAATATTACTGAGTTGTGGGTTTATGGGTGTTTATAAATGTAACAATAGTTACAGAGGTGTAAGAATAGTTTTTGGAGGTGCCCCATGATTGCAATTTAAGAAGTTTGGAAGCTGATGCAGGATAGAAATTGCTATCCTGCCTGCGTTGTGTAGAGAAATCAAGTTCGTCCTGTGATATAGACTGAAGTCTTATCTTAAAATTAATAATAAAAACTAAAAGAAGGCTTTCTGTTTTGTAAGGTGGAACTGGGAATCCTCAGCCTCCTGAGGGGTCTCACAGGGCAACATTCAAGCCTTGCTCTGGCCTGGAGGGTACAGCAGTGTAGCAAAGTGGTCAGTAGTATTAAAGCACCAGTTCAACAGAGAAGCTCACCTTCAGATCAGCTGGTGCATCATGTGTTTTATTTCATACTTTTCAAGCTCTAAGCATTCAAAGGCTTCACACCAAGACAGTGTCTTAGCCTGGCAGGTCCAGGACCCTTTGTGTGGCTGACTCACAGGGCACAGGCCACAGGGCAGGCTAAAGAACTCCTGTTGATGACTGATGGATTCCAAGAACACAACCTGTCCAGGACCCAGGATGACAGCTGGTGAAGCTCCAGCTGCATGGCCAGGTGGCCAGGAATGTCATTGCTCACTGGGCCCACACTGCTACCCTGGTGATATCACAGTTACTGAAGTCCTCCTCCGCATGGGTCGTGCTGCTCCACAAGCTAATCACACAAGAGGCCATCAGGTTCCCCAG